GGGTGGCTTTCAGCTCTTGAGCAACACTGCTGCTGTTACTAACCTGACTCGACCTCCCTGCTCCATGTTTCAGAGCGACTGGCTGTGAGCGGAGCCAGCGAGCCTGTGGCTGCCTATGCTGGAGGGGAGGTGGTGCTGAACTGCTCTGTGGACACGAATGTCCCCCTGCAGGAGCTGGAGGTGGAGTGGCTGAAGACTGACTCCACTATCTTAGTGCACATGTTCTCCGAGGGGGAGAGCAGGCCGGAGTCCCAGCACCAGCGCTACCGGGGACGCGCAGAGTTCATCACTGAGAGGATCCCTAACGGGGACTTCTCTCTGAGGCTGAAGGACATCAGGACTGAAGACAAGGGGGAGTACATGTGCATAGTCCACACAGACTCGGGTTCCGCAAATACAACAGCAGAGCTGAAAGAGCTGGGTAAGAAGCAGTCATTTACAGTATGTTAATAAAGAAAGCTGAGTGCAGGAAGTGCTCCTTCTGTCTGTGCCTGCAGCTGCAGCTCAGCTCACTGACAGGACAGCAGCTGCAGGGCTCCTGTGCGAGACGCTGTACTGCTTGGAGGTTCCTGTTTGTGTAGCTGATGAGCTGTGGAGCTGGGACAGCCCAGACACCCGGAACCAGCATGGCCCCACTCCTGCTGACTGCTCTGCTCTGCTCTTCCCAGGGTTTTCCACAGCTCATATCTGGATCCTGCTTCTGGCTCTTTCTGCACTGGGAGTCGTGCTCCTGACCAGTGTGCCAGCATGCCAGTTCTTGCTCCAGAACCGTGAGTTCAGCTTTTACCTCATTTCATGCTGCAACTCCAAATCTGCAACATCCTACAGCTTGCTGCTGTAAGTGGTGCATATGGAGCAGCAGGTGCAGCAGGTGTCACTCTTACCCCTGGTCCAGGGTCACTGTGCAGTAGGGGGCGCTGTTTTTCACATAGCCATCCCGTTGTCGGATCCTACATTGCCAAACAATCCCATCTTTAATACCAAGAGTTATTTATGACATGATTGTTAAATAGTTGGTCTGTTCAAATGTTTTTCGTACAGAGTAGTAGCTCATTTAAGTGCCTGAATGTTAAAGGGGAACTGCAGTCCCAATTTCTCAGACTGGTTATTCAATCAGGGTAACAAAGTAAATTCATTGACGTCACAGAAAAAATACAAATTTTGAATTAAGTACAAAATTCTGAACTTTGAAGTTACTGTAAGTCCCCGTGTTGTCACAAACTCGCATTTGAGTTCCCATGAATTGTGATGTGAATTGGCCCTTCCTGCTCACTAGTCCCTGTCATGACCGATGTACTGTGATGTACGAGCGGATCAGTGCAGGTTGTGCAGCAGACATTTCACCACAGAGATGTTCCAACATGATCTACAGGCAGAGTTAACAAGTAAAACTGTCTGGAAGTCGAGGGCAGTGTTTCTTTTGGATTCAAAGAGATGAATTCACAAGCCTGCTTGCATACAGTGTAATAGGGCCAGAAAAATGAAAGTAGCGTTGCAGTTTCCCTTTAACTGTGATGACACAAAAGTTAATAGCATTATTTCCTGCATCGGTTAAGTAAATTGGATACTTTGACAATAACTAATTGATCAATCAGAATGGAAAGGTGCTCCTTTATGTCAGTTAAAAGCCTGGATTTTCTTTTTGACTTGATTAAAACATTACGGAAGTTTTTTTTCTCAATGGATGCAGTAATCCCTGCTATGCCAGGGTATTATCAAGATGTGTTCCAGCTTCTTTACACTATCGGCCAGTCACATATCAAAGTCAAAGTCAGCTTTATGGACAGACGACCCCTTTGGGTGGTGAGGACTTTTCTGTGTTGCGCTTAAAATGACAGAGATAAAAAAAACAGAGGTACAAAGAAGAGAAAAGTGTGAATAACACGCACATATTATATACAAAAAAAAATACAGTGCAACATCCCCAGGGAAGATAGAAGCCCTTAGAATAAGTTCTCTTCCGGAATCACTCTGTTCTAGATTTGACGTATCCTTAGCCTTCATCCGGACGTTCTGTAGTAGTTTATTCCTGTCACCTGTGAAATCTTTGGTTTTATCCTCCCACATTGAGTTGGAGATTGTTTTGAATTTACCAGCTCTCCAAAGAAGTGACCTCCTTCCTCTACAGAGATAGATCATTTTTTATTAGCTCTGCCAGGGTAGTATTATCTACAAATGATTAATTTCACTGGTTCAGTAGTAGATACACAGTCATCGGTATACAAGGAGTACAGAAGTGGTGACAGACAGCACCCTTGGGGGCACCAGTGTTTAAAAACAGTGGCTGTGAGAGCTTCTGAGGTACTTATACTGTATATATAAAGTAGCTAAGGACATTAGAAGGTTTTCATTCTGGCTTACAAAGCTTTGAATGGTCTTGCTTATAACTACATGTATCTAATTGTGTATTTCACTACCTAAATCAGTTTATATCATATTTTAAAACATATTTTTTAATTTTGATTTTAGTTTGTACATCATTTTTAGATCTTTCAGTGCTTCATTATTCTTGTTCACTCCATGAAATTTCATTAATTCATGGAATGAACATTGTTTTTTACATTTGCTTTAAATGTAACTTTTATTCTTCCCATACTGAACTGGATGAATAGGCAAGTGCTTAGAGGATATGTGAAATTAAACATTTTCAATCCCAGTTATGAGCTGAGCACTTGATCTTCACACTCTTGTTATTGAACTGAAATAGACGGCTTGTGTTCAGCTCTGTGATCTGTGTAATTGAGCGCAGCTTGGCCTTGTGACGAATACCCTCCTTCCTGTCTCCTGTCCCAGGTGAGACCAGCTGGCGGTGGCCCTGCTGTCTGGTGAACTGTGTCGCTCCTGGGCTCCTCTTGTCTGTAGCCTTTATCCTGTGGGGCCAGACTGAAGGTGGGTGAGTCTGTCAGGTCCTTATCCACGCTGTGATCTTGGGCTCTTCCCTGTTCTGAGAGGTCTGTGTGTTTTGAAGGTTTTCTCCAGGAATCGGTCACCTGCGCCACTGTCAGTGTGCTGAGGGTCCTGCTGGTGTCAATGATGGCTTCCTATTCACACTGGTATCCAGGTGAGAGCAGAGCAGCTGATCTGGGACACGAGACTGAGTTCTCACATGTGTTACTGGTGGGTCGAGAGCCATTGGGAGGTAAACTCTTCAGCCCACTTGAAAGAGCTCCTGATCTCCAGTCCACAGTCTTCAGATAGTATTAACGCTAGTCCCTGTGTTTGCTGGTTAGTGTCGGCACCCTGTGCTGTGTGAGATCTTGAGGGAAGTGTTAATGTTGTACAGTAGATGTTTCTACCCAAAACACTCCCAAGTTACAGTTTCCTCAACTTTGTTATAAAGACTCCTGGCTTTATTTAAAACGACATTTTAACAAAAATAAACTAAAAAAACAAAATTAAAACCATCAAGAAATAAAAAACATCTAGATAATAATAAGAGTTATACAAAATAAACAGAAGCAGGTTTAAAGAGACTAAAACCACAACCTTTAGTGGTTTAGAAACATTTAGAAACCTTGTCGGAACATGGTTACTACAATTCATTTCATGGGGCAACTTGTCAGTGATTATTTGATTAATGTAAAAATGCCCAAGGCTTAGAAAAGGACAAAATGCACTCTGCCTCCTAACCCCAGAACACAAACCCCCTTTTATGTAAATCTTGAATCTTGAATGTTGAATCTTAGAAAGATGACAATAAAGAAGAGGCCATTTGGTCAATCTAGCCCCTTATTTACTGATCCAAATCTCATTCAATTCAAACTTTATTTGTCATTATACTGACACGGGTGCATAGTAAAGTCCCCCACAATCACCATAAGCCCCTATAATTGCACATGCCCTTCATTGTTGCACATAACATCTAATAACAGTTGGTCAAAAACCAGTACTCCTTTATTGTAAACTCATTTGCTGAGTAGTGTTACTGAATGCAAGATAAAGGTTTTGCTCTTTTTGTTGCTTCTGCACTGAGGGACTCTAAAATGCCTCTTCGAAGGCATCAGCCGGTACTCTTCATGCAGAACAAGTAAGGGATCAGAGGAGATTCTAGCAGCCAGGCTCCCCTCACTCTTACTGTAAGCAGTTTGAACGCTCTGCTCAAGCCGCCTGTAACAGATCTCCCCCTGATATGGTAACATGATGGGGAAATCTGCCCAAAAATTGTCCTCATAGAAGTGTCTTGTCATTAATCAGAACACACCAATGTACAGTAATCTTCCAGGCCGAATATACAGTAGGTCTTTGCTTTCTCCTGTTAGTAACAGAGGAAAACCCACACCCTGTCAGACCCATTTGGCCAAACTGTCAAACACTTTCGTCCTCGTACCAGCAGCTGACACAGCTACGACCGAGGCTGTTGCCCAGAACTCAGATGGTTGTTGTTATTAGAAAGATATAAGATGTGAAGAAAGGGTTAACTGACTCCTTTCTGCATGAGGAATGGACGTCTAAGTAACAGGCTTAGAGTTATGGCAGGAAAGGGGGATAACTGATAAGGATTCCAGATGCCTTAGCCTGAATTGGTTTTCTTTGTTTTAGGGCTGTGTAAACTCTCTCTCTGAGATTTTCCTGACTCACTCTTCAATGAATCATCAGTGTCTGAACAGACACCTTGTTGTTACTCCACTTGGCTTATGTGGGAGAGGCTGTACCGACCAGTGAAGCTAATTCCCCGGTTCCCTTGTACAAATGTAGTGTAAGGAATGTCTCATTGCTGCCCCCTGGTGGCTCCACCCTCTTTTCACCTCCTAAACCTGGCAGCCCTGGTTTACAAGGTTTACAACAAGAAGGATTTCTTTCAGTTCCCATGTACAGTGGCAGTATTTCTGGCACTTCACAGGGCAAAAACAATAAAATAACAATAATATTAAACAGAAATAACGATGGAGCTAAAAAGAGTGGAAAATA